CAAGAAAAACCAAAAGGAGACGATGAAGATTCTAAGAAAGAGCAACTGGATTATGAACAAGCAAAAGAAGACCATGAAGAACCTATGAAAGACCAACTGCAGCAAGGAAAACCAAAAGGAGAGAATCAGGAACCTAAACAAGAGCAACTGGAAACTAAAAAGCCAAAAGGAGAGTATGAAAAACCCAACCAAAAGCAACTGGAAGACGAGAAGTCAAAAGGAGCACGTGGGGACTCCCAACAGCAGGCTGATGAGTCCGTGGAAGATAAATCTTCACGACAGCAGCAGCTGATTGCAGACGAAGGTATGTTTTGCCACCCTCCATTTTTGCCAAAATTCAAAGTTTTGTAGCATTAGTTTCTCGCTCATCAGTCTGGGTAGAGGAAATATTTCTTCATTACTCCAAAACTCTTGGTTATTTGTTTTAGGCGACAATGTTAACTAAAGTATCATGATAATGAGTTACTTTGTTATTTAACAGGAGATTACGAAGAAGATGATGCGGTACTGGATACACGTCTGTAATTGCCAGCATTGACTCATCAAGTCCTTTTTAGTTCTAGTTATCGTTTTAGTAATAGAAAGGTTACATACCGTTATATCATTAAAATGACGCATTTATTTAACCAAGAGCATTAGAGGATAACTCATATAAGGTATTACAGTGACTAGTGCGTTCCCGCAATGTTTGTTTTCATTTTTTGATTGTCGTAGACAAGTACAAACAGCTACGAGAGAAAGGAAGTTAGTATGGTATGCTAAATAGATAATCGTGAAAGCATATTTACGGCCGTGTTGCGTTTCCAGTGTTGTCAGAAGTTTCCGCAACTGATTTTATTTCAATATGATTAGGTTTATTGGTACTTATAAACATGATTTAACTATCTACTCAGCATTCAGTTGCATCTATTACTCATTATTTATTGACTTTAGTCCTTGCATGTTATTTAGTAGGTGGCTTAATTGTTTTTACAATGCGACGCCACTAATCGTATTTACTCCACTGCACACATATATCAAGTGCACAGGTCAGATAATGTATTTTCATCTGGCTCCTTTATTTATTCACCTTTGTTGTTTACCTACGATTTAAGTTAAAATTTGGTAGAAGCTTGCACAAAAATATAAGAAAAAAGTATCACAGGAGTGAAACCCAAGTGAGAATGTTATAAAAAGTGTGAAATGTTTCATAATTTATTGTCAAGCCATTTAGTATCTAATTAAAAAAAAATTACAAAATTTTAGCTCTCACTTTTTTTGTCTTCTAATAATTGAACCATCCTGGAGTTCAATAGCGTAAACAGTATCTTATAACTGGAAAATCACCTTTGATGCTGGAAATCAATTCAGTTGCTGCAGGATTGTTCAAAATAAGTTGAATCAGATTGTCAGTTGACTGATCAACCAATAATACGGGACGTAAGAACCAGAGAAAGATTGTAGTTCAAACACAGAAATGGTAGGAGAAGTTGAACGTAAAGATTCCGTCAACAAGCTTTCTTGTATCGCCATAAATTTTGAATGAAGATCATGCACTGTGGTCTCCTAGAGTCAGTGACAAACCCTGGCTTAATGTTACTTCTGCCACCAGGATCCCGCTCTTCCTCACGTGTATACATATATTGTAGGCGCTAATATATGTCGCAGAGTTTGTCTTGTATTTTCTTTTGGGTAGAAGCAACGAGGAACCCGGATTAATAAACTGATATAATTTTTGGGTTTGGTGGAATCGTG